GGCCAGTTTTAATTTTAAAACTATATAATTTTGTGAGGAACTTCCGAAAATTTGTGTTAGCCTCGTATAATTAACTTTTATAATGTTCCACCTTTTTACCAAAACTGTTGACCTTATTACTTACAAAACAGAGATGCTGGACAAAATTTTCTGTGCGTTTCCACGTCATTGTTGGTCACCTGTTTTATAAGTGCTTTTTTTTGCGTTAAAGCTTCATTAATGAAATTTTGAGAATGTCTTTGTCTTTCAATTTGCAAAATGCTCTCGGTGCTGAAAGTCTTAATCGCAGGGAAGGTCCTCCGAGTATGGGCGAAGCTTTGGAAGCAAGCGGAAGTGAAGAAGTGTCACTGAACAAAAAATTCAGTCATTGTGAAGATGTAATTGAAAAGCTTGAAAGTGGAATGTATAATACGAAAGATTTGCAAGTAATTCAACTTTATCACTTTAAGGATGTCTAAAAGCATAAACTCCGGTTATTTGAAGATGTCTTGGTAAACCTAATTGTACTTTCTTGGGAAATTTATTGTCTTGTCCGGATCTGTGATGAAGTACATTATTACCATTTGTTGGTTTACTCATCAAAAACTAAAAGCTTCAAATTAATTCGTTCAATTTACTTCACGGCACCGAAATTCATGGCTTGCTGAAAATTCAGAAGGTCCCTGTTTCAGGAACAATTAAAGAAATGCGAGGAAGTGTTAAAGGATATTACTAGAGAAGTGTATGCACGTTCTCTTTTCAGCTCGAATGAGACTGTGGCTGATGTACCTACAAGTTCATTACCTTTTTTTCTGGTCCCTTCATTTTTAGCTTCGATTGCGCAAAACACTATAAGTGATCCGGAAGAAAGACTTAGCAACTTAGATAGAGCTAAGGTTTGTTAAGACTATTCACCATGTTCGCTTATGCAGTGTTGAAAAGCATTTTTTCAAAATTCTGCTAGCTGTGTTAGTCTCCATTTTTTTCTCTAAACTATCCGTATTCTTCAGATCTACTTACGTGATTTTTTGGACCGCTTGCGTTCTTACGAAATAATTGATTTCACCCTCCCTTGGTCAAACGTTGACGACGATAGCGATCACTCTGATGCTAAGCGAATACTTCGATTGGATCCTTCTGAAAGACGTAATGAAAAAATAAGACGCTTTCATGAACAAAAGGAGCTTCAAGAAAATTATGAAACCCTGAAGGCACGCCAGGCACTAGCGAGTGAAGATGATTCGTTAATGGTAAGTTACCTCATTTTTGCCTAGAGCAGGAACCTTTTAATTGTTACAAAACAAAGTTTTTTAAATTCAGAAATTCAAAAAATTCAGTTTTGAACAGAAGTTGTCAAATTATACTTCATGGGATGCCCTGTTCAGAGCTAAGCTTTATCGATAATGCATATTTGGTTCTCACAGTCCATTGCAACGGTAATGACTACTTTTTCTTTTTCTTGATTAAACATCGTGTTTTGGTTAGCGTGAATTGTTAATTGCTCGGCTGCGACTTGCTGCAAATAAAGCTATGGAGGAACTTGATCACATTGAAGAAGAACGGCCATTAGCCCAAAGAATGGCTATGATCAGAAAAGGTGAAACGCAACCGGAACCTCGGAGACCACGTATGAATGCATTTCTTCTTTCTCATATAAATATATAAATATAAATACAAACAAATAAATAAGAAGTATAAATGTAAATAAATAATTAGGTATATGTATATATATCTGTACATGATAGGAACCTTTGTTATTTAGCAGCTCCTCAACCGCGAAAGCCATTCATAATAACGCGCGACAAGTTGCAAAAAGAGGTTTTTGGTCTTGGGTATCCCAGCGTCCCTGTTAAAACAGTAGATGAATGGTACGATGAAATGGTAAAACATGGAGGGTACGTTACTATTCTTGTTCTATCTTTCACTTGATTGAAATCATTTTAATATTACTTTCGTTGACATGGAGGAAAGATGTATTGGTAGTTATTTTGAAAACTTTCAGATTTAGAAAGCCAGAATCTACTGAAGGTAAAGAAAAGATCCCTGATAGCGACGATGACACTGAAGAGGCGGAAGAAATCCGCAGAAGACGAGCGCAGAGGTGGGATGAATACAAAGACAGTAAGTTTTTTTCCGTTTTGTGTTGAAGCATATAGTTCATGCAGTCTTGTGGATATGAGTTTTTGTCTGTGGCTAATCTTTGTTTTTTTTATTTTATTTTGAAAAATGATGATCTAAAGATTTACCAACAGGGATTTTATTTTCTAGGTCATCGTCGTGGATGGGGTAATACGAAGAATAAAGGTTGAGAAGACGCGTACCTGTAATATTTTTATATCTAGCTTGCTTTGTAGATATTATAAATAAATGTTTTTATGTGATTTGTCTTCCAGTCTGCTTTCTTCTAAATTGACGTCTGTGCACGGGATATTTATGTATATCTGGATGAAAGGAATGATTGAATAACCTGGCTGCTTTTATACCTGCCGGATCTCTAGAATTTTTATTTATAATTAAATTTTTTTGCTAATTGTCAACAACTCTTAGGCTGTATGTACTTTGGGGACCGCATTTCACACAAGGTTTTATTACGAGATGTCACATTGTAAATTTCGAGATTCGAAATGTTCTGGGGAATCCTCCTCAGCATCAGAAGGGGAGCTGCCGTCAAGTCCACCAAGTAAGGTAGCAAAAGACAGTGCGGGGAAAAGAGATTTCAAAGGGAGTAAATCGTAAGCACCCGGTTTGGTATTGAAGTCTGAAAGTATAAAAGAGAGTTCTGTTTTGTATTTTCTCCTCAATTTTCATTTTTCAGTACAGGTTTATCACGAGTTCTCTAAAGATGTTTTTGTAGAGGAGCCATGTGGAGTACTTTTTTGGAAGAGAAAGGCTTAGTTGAACATCTCTCCACTACAGCTGGTATTGGAGGGAAGAATGTTGAGCGAGGGGTTGAAAGTTATGAAGTTCCTGAGTGTGAAAGTTCTTTGCATGAGGAGGGGAAGTCAGGGAAGCCTAAACCGTCGAACAGATACCAGGTAGTAATTTGCAGGATTATTTAAACACCATTTACCTGTTGTGTAGATCTAGATTGGATTTGATGATTTTTGCGCTTCTTTGGTTTCGAGTTTTTTACATATACGTGAAGCGAGTTTCTTAGTAACGGTGTAAATAACTTTTACAAATTTTAGCATTTTAAGAAAAGCGCTTCCAACGCTAGTTACGGAAAATTTTGTCGTCAAAAAACGTTTAAGGAGAAAGGTAATATTTTGGTTGCTGGTCTTGTTTTTTTTGATTGGACTTTTGGCTTTTTGTTACATTTGTAGCTATATTAGATTTTAGATTATTTTTAATGCTATGTAGTTTTATTTGTAAACTTTAGGTAAAACAGATAAGATACTTGGTAAGCGACCATATGACAAGCACGAAGAAAATTTGCTGTCAGACGATTATTCCTTAGAAGGCCTTATGAGTGCCGAGTTCCCAGAGGACATACCACTTGACGATTTAGCTAAAGAAATAGCTGAAGTGTTGGGGGAACGAGAAGATAGCATTATTCCAAGGTAATTGCGGAGTTTTTTAATCTTTTTTGGAAGTTTTGCTTAAAAAACCACTTATTTTGCTAAATATGTCTTGGTTCCTACTACACAGTTTATTGATTTGCCAGTTTTCAAAGTAGCTCCCTTAAAAATTATTTCTTTACAGTAATCCTTTTTTTAAGACTACATACCTCTTTTTTATTTGGCATTGTTGGGCGTTTTTATATAAGGAATTTAGTGTTGTCAAAGTACTTGGTGAAAGCCGGGCGCTGAAGCTGTTTAATGAAGTTCGAGATATAGAAGCTACTGGTGGTATGAAAGTTTTCGATGGTTCCAGACGCCGAACTCCGGGCGGAGTATATATGGTTCTTTTTAAATCAGATCCTGACGTTCCTCAAGAAATCAAGGTATTTTTTTATTGACATTTTTTTTTTTTAAGAGGCATTAACTTCATTTTGTAAATTTTACCAGTATTTTTTTTTAATTGAAAGCTCATACTGCTTTAATCAATTGTAGCAGAAAATTATGAAGATGACTAAAATGGCGGATCGTTCAGTTAAGAAGGGGAAGCGAAGAATTAAGGCTGCTGATGGCAAACGAAATAAGGTTGGTTTTAAAAGAATGTTCATTTTCTTTAAGTAATTTTTTTGCATGGCTTACTGCAGCTATATGATTTATCAAGAGAGAATTTTATTATTTTTGAATTTGATCAGTGAAATTGGCAAAATAAGTTTTTTATAAAACATTGATCCGAAGGCGATAAAGATTTAATGTAGGATGATTGTTTGCCGGCTGCTGCTAGCGTTCTATTGAAAACAAGCTCTCAAGAGTTAGATTCTAATGGGCATACTGCAATGGAAACCGAAAATTGAGATAGAGAGATATTTTTGGTCAAATTAGTATTTGTTTGTTCATTTATGTTTACGGAGATGTGAAACTTCTTATCCTGTTTTAAGTTAATAAAAGGAGACCTGCACAAGTTTTTTTCTGATAATCTCTTTTAGCCTGTGCAAAGAATATAGACTTCAAAAAGCTTGTCCTATTTCTGTTTTTTATTTCAATAGAAAGTATTGTTTGCCGCTAAACAATTCAAATCGGGTAAAAGTAAATGCAGTTTCTTTATAAATTCGTTGCCTGAAGTCAGAGTCTTATCTGTGCAAGCATTCACTTTTCATTTCAACCTCTTACCTTCGTACGTGTATTTGCATGGTCAAAGCTATTCATATGGTTGTTATGCCTTTACTGATTGTGTTTTGTTTCATGTGTACATTGTTAGAAATTATTGGATAAAAGTGTTGTACACACTTGTTTTAACTTCGTTGTAACCTAAATAAGTTGATAATTGGTTTTCTAATTGGTAATTTCGGTCATTTCAAAAATTTATATTCTTATGTTATGTGGCTGGCTGGCTGAAAGTTAGTTTACTTAACTTTTTTTTGTAGAAGGCTTTACTACATCTTGCGTATGGCAGTTACGTTTCGAGACAGGGCATGTTCGCAATAATGGGAGACGAGGTAGCGCAGAATAATGTCAATTTTAAGTATCTTAATGTGTTACGATTTCAGCCAGCATTTAAGTAGTGGTCGCTACTGTCATGTAAAACTGTAAGTTAAAGGAGCGAAAGTCGATGTTTAGACACTAACTTTCTGAAAGTTTAATAGAGGTTTCGAGTTTGACTTTCTTCACTGTTTTTCAAATTATTGTTCAGCAACAGACGCTTATTGCACTTTCATGTTACGATCATTTAAGCCTTTAGTACAACAAGAAAAAATGTTGCCAAACACAAATTCTGTATTTTTAGTTACTGGCTTTCCAAATTTTGTTATAACTAAACGATGGAGTTTAAACTGCTGGAAATGTCATTTAGTTATTTATTTATTTCTTTTGCGAGAAGCATGGTTTTTTTGCATAAAAACAAATACTGTAGGACAGAAAACGGGGGACAACATTGTTTTTACGAACATCGATTACTTAGAAGGGTTCAGTTAAGATTGCCAATTAAAATTGTGTTTTGAATCTTGTGGTAACTACTAGTTATTTTAAAAAGTTAGAGTTTATCAGGTGTATTCTCAGTCTGAAAGTGTCTGCAGGGGAGCACTATTATAATGTTACTTGTGAATTGGACTGAGGGTCAAAAAAGGTGAAATTTGAAGCGCTGAAATAGTTTGGAATTATTAGTAGACATTTATTTTGAGATGCACCAAGTTTGTTTTTTCATTGCAGGTTAATCACCCGTATTGAATCATTCATCAAGAAAATTATTCGTCAAGTAAAAACTTTCATGACACTGTTCCACCTTGGGCCACAAAAATGCCTTATTTTAAATGGTACTCTGTTTCAGTAACGTTGGTAGAGCACTGACCTTGTCGGTTTCACATAATTGTTATTTTTTTCAATTCAAATTTTATGTTATAAGCAGCATTAAGAGTTTTGTATATCAGTTATTTCCAGAGTCAGCTAACATGATGCTATTCAAAAAAAAAACTACAGTATAACGTTGATATTATATTGGGTGGTACAGTTAAGGCGACGTCTTTTGTAGCTGCTAACAAAATTTTGTGAACTGGTACTGCCTGAACTTGTCGGTAAAATTAAAAAAAAGAAAAAGAGACAAATGACTGTTCAAATTAGCGGTCAAAACTGTGAATCTTACTTTTTAACATTAGAATTACAAAGTCTGGTCAAGAGGAGGGCAAAAGTCAATGATCTTATTTTAATATGAATGTGTAATAGAAAAATGGTAAAAAAAGTACACTTGCTTTTTTACACAGTTTTTTTCACTTTCCGTTTATGGGATGCCCAGAAATGGTTACAACACAATGTCGAAGGGTTGTTATATTTAAGGAGTGAATCAAGTTGGTCAAAATAATGCTTGAAACTACCATCACATTCAGCGATTCGGAGGTTGAGAGTAATATCTTTTATCAGCGATAGGGTAGAACAATTTTTGCTTGTTGTGTTTCTGATTATTCCAACTATACGAAATTACTGTAATCGATGATAGGTTACTGAAAATGACAATTGTTTTTTTTTTTTTTTTGTTTTTTTCCACTTAACAGCTACTCTATCTGTTCACTAATTTATCTTTCACATATCTGTTTAATGTATGTTCTTTTCTTTTTCGCGCTTTTTCAAAGTCATTCGAAACACGATCAGTGTTATCCCAACCTACGGTTTGAGATTAATTTTGTCATTTTGAGTGCTTTCAATTCCTGACTTATTTTTCCTTTTCTTAAGAACTTCGTTTTTCTTTTAAAATTACTTGAGTTTTATGTCAAATTTTCTGAACGTTAATTTTTGTCTTGAGAGCAAGAAAAAAGGAAGTTTTGCTGTTGTAATTATAGCAACATTTCTTTGTATGAACATTGTTGCGAAAGAAAAAAAAGCGCGGACAAGAATAAGAACGATGGTATTTGCAAGATTTTGAAAAAAAACGGCCAATTCATTTTGCTTTTTCGTCCAATCTTTAAAGATAACTTTTTGAAAGCTTTAACTACATTAAATTGATTTTTTTTTGTTCCTTTTTTTATTCTTTTTTTTTTTTTTTTTTTTTTTTTTTTT